ATACTTTTATATTTGTTATATTATTTCTTTAAAAATTAGTCGTTCGCACCCAGCCGCTTAAAATAAGTATTGTAAAAAAGAAAACATATACAGTGATTTTAATGTGATCAGTTAGAGTAATTTCATAAAAATATCGAATATTTCTAATTAAACATCTCATTTTAATACATGTTTATTTAAATCAATCACATTAAAAAGTAGAAAAAATATTCTTAAGTGCTGTGTTTAGTGGTTTTAAATTGCTTAGTTTATTACTCGTTAAACTTCCAGATTAAATTTGAAAGTATCTTCTTAGGTTTTACTGTACGGCAACACGCTGGCACAAATATTTTATTTCTGGCCGGGGCAACACATTGCTTTCATAGAAGAGAGTTTGTTAATTAAAAATTAAAGGTAAATATTTTACATTTTTCTGAATGACAACAGTCTCGCGCGATGGAGGTAAAGGTGCTCTTTCGAACTGTGCTGCCCCTGCTGTTTTTCAGATCGTTGAGTTTGTCAATCAAGAATTCATTACAGTTTTACAAAATATCAGTTAAATAATAAAACAAATTTGAAATTTAAAATTCGGCTTCGGCTGGTGTACATGCTCGAGTGGAAGACTACGTTATTCAAGATTTGATAGCTCAAGGTGCCTTCATTTTTTCATAATGCGGAAGCATGCATAGATTCATGCAGATTCTTTATTATTTAATTTCTTTTACAAAAATACAAGACGATAACATTTGGTGGCAACAATTTGAAAAGTGATTCGCCATTTATAGTGAACCGACGCAAAATCCCATTTCAAGACTAATAACCACTTTTGGGCTAAATATATGTTAAAGAAACGATTTATAAATCCCAAAGAAGAATAATTTGTAAAAGATTAATCTTTTAAAAAAATAAACAGGATTACCTTTGCTGTAGCAATAATCAGTATCAGTATTCAGATACTAAGCTAGGATTTCCTTAAATGTTTTTTGTATCGTTTTTAGCTCTCTAAACTAAAACTTCTCTCCTCAGGAGCATCAATTTCCGAAATAATTACGTAATAAAAAAGAAGAAAAAAAAGCTACGTTGGGAATTTAAATCTTTAAAATCCTTTTGTGTTAAAGGAGTTAATTTCCCCCTTCACCTTATTACACAGGATATTCAAAAAGTGGTTATCTAGCCTCACTAGTTTAGGTTTAATTATTTCCTTAATTATTGGCACTAGACTTGTTTTATTGAAAAGACTAGTGAAAATAAAGTTCCGAATTCTTTGAAAACGGATTAAATATTGTGGATGGGAGGGTTTCGTAGAAAAGAAATTTAGCATTATTATTTACCCGTTTTTGGAGAATTAAAAGTAAACCTTTCCGTACCTTTAGACACAAATAAGCAGAGATTAATAGACACTTTAAAGAGGCACCTATGCATTTAATAACGAATATCGTTTCTCTCAAGGCAGTACCATTTATCCCCCAAATAAGCAAATTTTTTAACTCTCTCTTATGCTTAAACCTCTTGAAATATATCTTAATAAAGATTTAATTATTACATTTACTTCCAAATATAATTATAAATTTCGCATATGAAAATGTGCCATGTTTTGTTTAAAGTGAAATGAAATCAATGACAAATCTTTTACTAATGGAATTTTTTCTTTGTTTTGACCTTACAATATGCAAACTTTATTTTAGAGAACTCTGCGATAGCAGTTTCATAGATATCATTAAGTTTTCAGAGTTGGGAAGCGTCAGAAACAGCCGTGCACTTGCCGGAAATCGAACTGCCGATCTTTCAACGCCAAAAGAATGTGCCAATCACTTAACGCCACGCCATATGACACGAAGAAATATGATAATTCTTTGCTCTCTTTCCCACTTAAAGAGAGACTAAAAACAAGGCACAAGATTCAGTCGACCGAATACAAGGGGTGCCATCATAGTTGCCACTATACAGATCATTAGCAAGAACCAGGATGAATTATTTATGCGCTTCTTAGGATTTAAACCATGGACCTTCCAATTCCTAGCTGGACGTGCTAACCACTTACACCCCGAAAACATACACGGAGCAATAAGATAATTCTTTACATTATGTTCTGTAGAATTATAAGGTCTTTCTCCAGCCTCCTTAGCATGCCTTTGTGGTATAATGGTCAGCACACTCGACACGTATTCGAGAAGTCCGTGGTTCGTGTCCCGGCGAGGGCATTGCTCAGTTTTCACGTCTCTCAGCATAAAAAATCCTAATGTCTTAACAGAATCCTTAGGCAATTTTGAAGCGAAAGATGTGCGATGCCCTCGCTGGGACTCAAACGCTGGACCTATCGAGTATGCTTCCAATTTTACCACGAAGGCATGCGGAAAGGAGAAAGAAAATACCTTATAGGCTTCCCCTTATAAAAGGCGACTGGGGAAATCGTCAAACCCTGGAAGTCATTAGGATTATCCTGGACGGATTATCGTCCACTATCTTTTACTTCGGACGCCACTGTTGAATCATTAGGATTTTTCTTTGATGCCGGAGATGGGAAAATGTGCAATGCCCTCGCCGGGACTCGAACCCTGGACCTCTGGAATACGCGTCGAATATGCTTCCAATTACACCACGAAACAATGCGGACAAGAGGGAGAAAATACCTTATAGTTCATAAAACTATTTAACTTAACTGTACTTAGAAGTATACGTCCAGTAAAAATCTTTCAGGAAATAGTGCTTTCCTCAAATTTATCTTAAACAAATAATGCTTGTTTTGTAATTAATAAATGTATACATTACTACGCACATTTTTGATTTAATAATTGAATAAAGAAGCACTAACCAATAGCAAGATGCTTTTCAAAGCTAAAGTTTCCTTACAGAATGCAGCTTACATTTTAAAGAATGAGAAAATATATTGCGGAAAAATCATTTGTTAATTACGTGTTTAAACATGAAATGAAACTAATTAAACTTTGCGACAGTCTTTTGGGAAGGATATTTAGGACGAATTCAAGCTCCGTTTAAATTCGTTTCCGACAAAGTAGAAAAGAAAAATTATAGAATATATTAAAATGCGTTGATTAGCGTATTACGGAAAAGTACTTTCACCGAAATTAAATCTTAATGCATAGTAGTGAAACTCTTAAGTCTCGTATAGCAGCAAATCATAAAATAACCTTCGGATTATTGAAGAAATCCTAGAAATATTATGTGATTGGATAATCGAGAGGCTTCCTTCACAAGCAAATATTTATTATTCACAATATTGTTGTAAACGTCTATAAATATTTTTATTTATTTGTATTTAATTGCCTTTTTTATTTTATATTCCTTTAAATTATTTAATATTAATGCCTTTTGCATTAGTAAATTTAAGTTTCACTGTATATTTCTCTTAAATCAAAATTATGGAGAACTTTTTATGCATTATGTTGTAGCTCTTTTGTCGATTGATATTTTAACTGTGAGTTTGTGGGATTCAAACCTTTTGCCTAACAGCTAAATGTGTAGGAACCTCATGAACAGATAATCGAATAATCGCTTTAGTTCAGAAACAGAAACGTAAAAGTCAAGAAAGGTTAATTTACCCTTTATTGTAACTTATTGTGTTCCAAATAAGAACTTAACAGTTGGCTCCTTTCTCACAGCGTACAGCAAAACCTCCACTTTGGCTTGAACTCAAAGTAATAAGAAGTAAAACTTAACTAATGTTAAATTAAAAAGATAGAGCTGAAGCTATCAAAATTCTAAGTAATTGGGCCCTAAATATGAAATAAGCTATTAAGAACCTGAAATACGGCCGAGGGTCGTAATAGCTTAGAGAGAGACAGCAGCCAAAAGGCGAACGCGCTCTAGTCAGAAACTTTGCCTCTCTAACGAAGTCAGCGGAACTTCGACTTAAATACCACTCTTACTCATTTGCATTAAACGATTCTAAAAACACATTCTTGTAGGAAATTGTAAGCTGAAATTAAGGAAGGACAGGAAGGTAGCTTTAACTAAAGATAAGTGTTAAAACTTAGGCTAAACCTTAAAAGCTCACGTTTACCAAAAGCCATGGATAGAAATCTTTCTATTTAGCTTTGTCGACAAGTTTGCGACATTTGTCGAGTCTCGCCAGTTTGTTTGGAATTGTAAGATCATAATAGCAATTCCAACAATTTTGCAAAGAACTTCGAGCTCGATATTTTATGTTGCGCAGCGAAATTAAGTTAATTAATAAATTTATGCCTTATCAACAATTACTTCATTTATATTCCAAATTATGCTACAAAACGTGCATTTTATTTAAACCATGTGTTAATTTGTTTCACTTTTAATTGAAATTTTAATGATGATAAAACTTTAATAGTTGAGCAGCATTGTAGACAAACTAAAAATTTCAACATAATACTATAAGAAATATTATGTTGAAATTTTATTTGTTTTACTTTTAATTGTACTTAAGATTCTACGTTCGTATCACTCGTTTTTTCTGAACGCGCTTGGCAGAAGACAATGGGAATGGGTGTGATTTCCATGTTATATTCTTGATTAAAAAATACTTAATTTGAGTTTACATATTTCTAACTTATACTATCAGAAGCAGAAAAATTTGTTCTTAAATTTAAATGTACTTGTCATAGTGAATCAGTTTTTGAGATACGCCCATTTATTTAACAAATTTTTGGTACTTTCGTTGGTCTTTCGAAAAAGGGGGGATGAACTGAGTTTTCTTGTCACATTTTTAAGCTGCTAGGGAATTCCTTAGAGATTCTTTAGCTAGGGACGAGATAGGGCAAGGTCATATTTTACATCCGCTCTCTCGCGTAAGGGGATAGGTTTGCTGTATCTGCAGGTAGGCAAAGTTTGGCGACACTGGGTGAAGTGAGTTGATCTAACGCTTTGAAAAAGTGAGAAAATTTTCTACTGCGTAAGGTGGGGTGTTATTGAGTCAAGGTTGACCCCATTTAGAATGAGTTTTGGCGAGCATGGTAAGCTTTCGTAACAAAAAGCCGTTGCATTGGAATTTTCGTTCTCTTTCGCGCTTGGTCCTGCCTGCTGTTTTCATTTTGGAAAGCTTCCGCATTGAGATGCTGATATGCTTCGCACAGAATTAATACGAACAGTTTTGGCCAGTGGTGGTTGAATTCCGATGTGAGAAAATTTCTTTTTAGTTTCGGAATGTTTAAAATAGCAGTTGTTCTTGTTCTAGTGGCTTCCTGTCCTTGCCAATAGTCATATATTTCCGACATAAATTTTCAACTGCCCATAACCGGTGCTTTTCCTGTTTCTCTTGCTGCTAATATAACGATCTCAGAAGCCATTAGCAAAATGCCTTACTTCAGACAGTCTGCCCGGAATGATCCATGATTTCTTCCTAATTGAGAGAAGGATTCAGTCAATTTTCCTTCATCGACGCTGTATCAGATGACGTCCGTCAGAATGAACAGAACATCCTGCGTCTTCTTCCATGCAATATTGATTTAGAACCATCCTAAACTGACGTCCATGTGAGTAACCATCCATTGTCTTCATCCTAGTGATGATTAGATGAACCAGAACGTTAAGTCCATTTTTCTTCTTAGAGTATTATGTTGAAATTTTTAGTTTGTCTACAATGCTGCTCAACTATTTGATCGTAATTAATTAATTCATTTCTAAATTAAATGAGATAGATGTAAGTTCTTGTTATTTTGTTTAGCTTAAACGAAATTAAATAAAGAATAAACGGTATTAAAGAAAGATTAAAGAAAGGTGGATTAATTATTTAACTGCTTTATTCTACAAGATTTTACACAACCATGAGCAATACGGTTAATAAAATAAATCAACTCATGAAATTAATCAACAGCTTCACTGTGCACAATGTTTCCAGCGAAACATTAATAAATAATGTTAAACATTACTAAATATTAATAAACACTGATCAGCTGAATATGTCCACTCTACACATATATTATTTATTCATTTTTTTAATGTAAGGTAACTATTATTTTAATAAAAACAAAAAAATTCTGAAAGTTTTTTATCATTTCGTGAGTTACTTTATTTATTAAATATCATGTTCTTCGCACCTAAACCATAAATTTCAATTCAACAGCCATATCGGAAAATAATTTAAAAAGAGCATATCTTTAGAATTTCCGATACACAGTCCCGCGCGCTAGAGATAAAATTTATTTTTCGCTCAGTGTTGCCATTGCTCGCTTTTAAATCGTTGAGTTTGTTAATGGAAAATTCATAAATGCTTTATAAAATATGAAATAGATAATAAAACAAATTCCAAACTTGGGCCTTCCAGATGCCCATATTCGCAGTAAGATTACGTCATTCAAAATTGGATGGCTCTAGGTACCGTTGTTTTATCACAATGCGAGAAACATACATACATTTATGCAGATTCTTCATTCTTTAATTTCTTTAAATATAATACACGGCGATAATATTTGATGGCGACGATTTGAAAAGTGAAACGGACATTTAAAGTTTTCGACGCAAAATGCCAAAACGAAATTAATAGCCCTTTGGGCTTTAAAATAAATAAATAAATAAATGTATTTTTAGTATCATTGTAATAATGTAATACATTATAATTAGAAGTGAATTAAGAATAAGTAGTTTTTTTAGTTAATATGTTACTTTCAATTCCGATAATTTGAATTTAATTTTTATTCTATCCAGCCACGGAATAAGTTTCCTACGATTTATTCAGATCCGAATAAACGGCAGTGGGAATAAAATTATCAACGAAAGTGTGTAGTTATAGACGAAATACGTGGGTTATAAATGGCATTCTTACCCCAATCCAAGGCTCAGATCAACATGACTGTCAATAACACTGACGCATTAAGTGTTTCCAGGAAAGCGTAATGATGACAAGATTTTTACTGGAATCCGATTTCTACATTGGATGTTGACAAATGCTCCAGTAGTAAGTTGCATTTATGTTCTTTATCTTTCCTGTTGCAAAAGGATTATTTGCAGTGCGTTTTTGCTGTAAGTTATTTATCTTTCTTGTAACTGTTATTTCTTAACCATCTTAAAAACAGAGATACGGAAATTACTTCTTCGGAACAATCAGAATTTTATCTTAATTAAGGTACTCGAATACACGATTTTTGTTCAAAGTACCGTTTTTTCCATTCAGTTCAACAGAATTATCGTAAAATAATTTTAAAATGAGCATATCTTTAGAATTTCCGATACGCAGCTCCGCGCCGTGGAGATAAAAAGTCCCCCCCCCCCACTCCGTAGAGTGTTACCATTGTTCGCTTTTAAATCGTTGAGTTTGTTAATGCAAAATTCATAAATGCTTTATAAAATATGAAATAGATAATAAAACAAATTTCCAAATTCCAAACTTGGGCTTCCAGATGCCCGTATTCGCAGTAGGATTACGTCATTCAAAATTGGATGGCTCTAGGTACCGTTGTTTTATCACAATGCGAGAAACATACATACATTTATGCAGATTCTTCATTACTTAATTTCTTTAAATATAATACAGGGCGATAATATTTGGTATAACAATTTGAAAAGTGAATTGGACATTTATAGTTAGCCAACGCAAAATGCCAAAACGAAAATAATAGTCCTTCATGTCAAACTGCCTCTTTTACTGAAAACCACAAATGTCTCAGTAAACACGTATATCTTATTTTATGTTACGCCTTAATTTAATCCTACTACTGCTGTGTAGTTTACTGTAATTAGTAAAATTAAATTGAAATTAATTTCTAAAAGGAATAATAACAATTTTGAATAACAAATAATCTATGAATATATTTGAATTGGACATAATGATTAAACTAAAAGAAGTGTGTTTATTATATAGATTTTCTTTGATTGTTACTGTCACCAATAATCCGTCGTAACACAACTGATTAAAAAACTGTTTATATTAAAAACAAGAAACACTCTTTTATATAATTCAAATTTATTTTTTACATTTTTAATCATGCATCTATTTAATACAATTTTAAATGCTTAAAATTTATTACGTTTAATTTATAGCTCATCTCACTTCATGGACCTTTGCACTTCGTTGCAGTTAAAAGATGTTTCTAACGCTATGTGAAAACTAACTGGTGTATAAGAGTTTGTTTGCAATTTTTTTTATAAAGTTTGAATGATTGTTTAATTAAAAATATAAAAGCTTTCTGTATTTAAAAAAATAACCTTTTAAAATTTAAAAAATTAGTAAGAAATTATTTTATGATTAAAAATTAAACAAATTTTAGTCGCAGACAAACTTTTTTATTTTGAATTCTTTTTTTAAGACTTTTATCTATAAATTAAAAAAAATCTTAATTATTTAGCATAAGATCTTTCTTGAGATTAAAATACAATTAGAATTTTTACGATTGATTCTGTTTTTAAATGTTTCCGAAGGGGGGAGGAAACATAAAATTTACTCAGAGATCAAGATAGTAGTAGTTCAGAAGAGTTTGAAAAACTCAAGTCTAAAATACTTTCTGAAGTGATTTTGAACAACATTTCCTTATTTTTCTAAGTTCAGTCAGTATATTGTCATCTTTATGTTTATTTACTCCTTTCGAAAATCCGCTGTTTGATGTTCTTCCCTCTCAGATGACTCCGGAATCCAATTAAGAAGCCCCATCTCTTCAATAATTTTCATTATCTTGTCTATTAGCACACTCTGTAATTTTTATGAATTTTCCTCCTCGGAATCCTCTTACTCGTCGCAGAATTCACATTCCCAGAGCGTCTTCATTAAATGCATTAATTCAATGTCTTGTTTTCCATTTAATTTTCTTCCCGAGGCACGTATTTTGAAATTTACCATTAACAGGAATAAGCGTCGCTGCTTAAGAACAACATTCTTCAAAATATAAAAGGGTGAACATTTTAGTGAAGCTTCAGCTAGTAAAATTGCTTTCGAACCTTAAATCCATTTTCTTTCGGCTTGATTAGAATATTGTTCTTTATTTAATAACACGAACGTATATTACGTTTCACCACGTATGATTCTTGATTTTGCCTGAGGACAAGACATGAATCCAGAGTTCATTCAAATGGAAGCTCCGAAACTAATATCTGCTGTAGCTGTTTGAGCATGTTCAAAAATCTAATTTAACATTCTGACGCTTGTTACGACCAGGCAAAAACTTTTAAAGATTACAAGATAGCTTACGGTAAAAATTAAAACGATAAAAAAGCAAGCTTATTGTTATAAATTTTCAATAAACGTTTAAGTGGGACTTAACATAGGCCCATCTTCTTCATAAGAGAAAAAGAGAAAAAAAGGCGAAAAGGTGGAATACGGATATTTCATATATGGGCCTTTCATGCAGATGAAGCTTTGGTGTCCAGCTCCACGTGCGGTAAAGACGCTGTAACTTTAGTAGTTCGACTCGGATTCGAATCCCGGTGAACGGGCTGGTTGCTAGTTGATTTTCGGAGTTTTCCCCATGTGTAATGTAGATACGAGTACAAGTCAGTTTCCCACGTAGACATCCCTCTCCATTGATGAAACGTGCTTTATGGAAATATGCTTAATGAAGAAATGTTATAATAAAATAATGTTATACCAAATGTCATGGTATTATCCAAAATTAATTAATGACTCAAATTACCATCTGCGCTCAGTTAACACACGATCTTAAAATAAAATAAATACATTACGTTGCATAGAATGCAATAATATGATTTTAAAATTATGATAAATGTTGTTTCTTTTAATCTATCAATAGCAGATTAGAAAAATTCCTTACTTGTATAAAGCCAATAAGACACACTTCAAACAAAAAGACTACTTTCACGTACCATTATTTTCTTTCTTTTTAAGTAACTACTAAATTAATTTTTATGAGTATCACATATTTTCAAAGAGACAATACAGACTCCACCATCATTTCTATAATTTTTGAGAGCTCTGCTCATAACCAGCTCTGCTGCTCATAAGCTCTGTTTGCTTTGCTTTGCCTAAATCAATTAACCTAATCTTCAAATAATACTTAGAAGAAAGATACCTGAGCATATCTGGACATTAGAATTCCTTTCGGAAAAATTGGAATAAGGAAAACAAAAAAGGGAAGCCCGTTGGCTCGCAAAAAAATGAAACAGCAATAGAAGTTGAAGATAAGTCCATCATTGACTATCTACATTGATCTTGGCGATGCTTCTACGCACGGGCGAAAATATCATCCATTTGTAGCGAAGGGTAGTCAGTTTTCCGAGATGTGTCGGTTAATTTCATGTTATGGAAAGATCTTGCAATAATATCTCTTTGTGGGGCAACACCTCTTACATACAGATTACGATGAAAATATAGCATTATCACTTTGTTCCCGTGTAGAATTTCACACAGTAGCCTGTGGAATTTGAAACGGGACCTAACTGTCCTACTTAGTAGCAGAGCTCTGTACATCAACGGGTCTAAGAGTGAACAAGGAACTGGAAGTGCTTACTGTGAGATGCATAAAAATGCAATCTTGGATACCTAAGCCAAGAAGATAAATTCCTCAAACTCAGTATTCCAGGTATAACTTGTAGCTTTGAGGATAGCAGTCAAATATGAAAGATAAATGGGCTTAACAACGTACAGTACAACTCTAATTATCCGAACTCCGAGTATCCGAATCGCTTTCAGAGTTTAAGAAAAAAATTAAGACGGAAGCGCAGTGTTGAACCATTAAGGATTTCAGACATTAAAAGGAGCTAACCTAACTTTTAAATTTCGTCTCACTGTTTGAAGACGAAGATGGAAGTTCTTCAAGAAAATACATGCAGCAAATAAACAAAAATTTAGAAGATGTCACGCAAGGCCATAGGGCGACTTAAAGTCTGCGAGAAGGGTCGAACTGCGTCCCTCATATCATAACCGGATTTCACTCAGTATTGAACAGGATAACGACAAGAAAGCTAACCATACGTTATCTATGCCATCATTATATCTTTACGGCTTTAGTTTTAAAGAAAATGACCAGCAAAAATGTGGAGAGATCGAGCATCCCGACCATTCTGTCTTCGACTGCACAGTAACTGCCACTAACTATCTCAGAAAAATGTCGTTGGTTTATTTGCAGGTGCATAACTCGTGCGAAAAACAGTATGTGATATTAGAACTAAAATGTGCACTCGAAAAGCATCAACTAGATCTAGGAGACTGGAATAAATAGCCCGTTGCTGCAAGTGATAACGTATTATTACGCCAGTTTTCCTTCTACCTTGCAAATTGCAAGACCTGAGTATCTTCTCTGTACTTCTGTTAGCAGTGTCGATTCTTAATGCAGTATTGTATCGCAGAAAATGAAAAATGTAGTATTTTGTCAAAGTAAATCTAAATATGTGAAACTGTGTACGATCCTCATTTATAAACGTTTGGAAACGTAATATTATTTGTAATGTTTTGTAAATTATAGCAATGTATTATATGTATACATTACTGTATAACAAGTATATGTAATATTGTATACAGGTCTCTGTAATTTGTAGCAGTGTATTTTCAGTCTTTTAAATATTAAACGTGTAGTGTAAGTAAGTTGCTAGCCTATTCTGCGATTTCAAAAAGACTGCGGTTCAATGAGAGTGAGCTGAATTGCATTTTAGGGTTTACTGTGTAGAGACATTAGGTAATTTCGAAGCAGGAAAGATATTATATGGTCACTTTTCTTAACCTGTTCCTCCAAACTAAGTTAATGGCACTACAGGGTTAGGAAGTCATCCTAGTCGTTGCTAGCAATCTGACAGTTAGGCCGCCTTTCTACATTTTACATTAATCTTTAGTTTCTTGGATATAATTGTTTTCATTCACTTGCTTCATTATCTCTAAGATGCAATTGTTGCAGTAATAGTCCGTGAACAGCCTATTCACAGGATATGTGATGTAATCGGAAGGAAAGAACTGCTGTCGAAGGTGCTCTATCAGAGAGCAGGTAATCAAGTGCGTCCGCGTCTTCCCCGCGAAAA